CTTTACTGAATTTCCATTGTTAGCGGAGTGTGTCACTAATAACAGATTTATTTCTCTTCTCACTCTGGAAAAAAACATGCACATCATCCCTATTGCTGCATAGCAAACAACTTATTTATGAATAAAGCTTTGAGGACACACTTACCCCATGAGGACTGTAGATCCTGCAACCATCGACCGCCTTGATGATACAACATCTCCACATCTGGCTGCAACTAATCTCATGTGTGCTGCCCATCAGCCGGTCGGCACAGAGCACCGACATGAATATCCCTTTCATCGATACTCAGATTTTCTTGCAATGCATATTTATATAGCGCCTGCACCGTAGGGTTACATGATTTGCTTTTGATGTATCCAGGTTACCTGATAGGATTAAACTGTTAATCTGTTTTCACTGAGGCCGCAGGTAAATCTCAACAGACATGATATAAGAAGAAAAAAAACAAATGCAACACTGTGACGCAATAAATTCATAAAAAAATTCTATTTTAACCTCTCTTTCCTATAATAAGGACATGTGCAGCACATGTGCTTTTAAAAAGCTGTTTGCTCCACTTAGAGGACTCCCAAAGTGCTTAGATGTCAGTTGGCCAGGAGAGTGCAGTGTTACTCCATCAGTGAAGGACACAACACAGTCGACTAAGTCGTGCTGCCTGCAGCTTGTCAAGCCGAGTGACCCAAAAATGGGACGATTGGCCTATTTTGTCAAGAACATGTTCATACAGACCAAAGTGGTGTCTTTACACAGTGTTTATTCCATGCAACACAAGTTCATTTCATGTCAGGAACAAAGATGGCAGCAGCTTTACTTGGTGAAGTCAGCCTGGACGTTGACAGCTCCAGCAGGATCACCACAACGGCAGCCCGTCATATCTGCATGAATACACACAGAATTCAGGTTAAAAATGAGAAAGGTGTGTCAGACAAAACATTAAATCCTATGTAAAATCTCTCCTGTCCTTATGTATACACAACTGTGCAGTCTAGTAGATACAGTTCTTATTTAGATTCAACACAAAACAACACTAACAACAACTACAAAAATCACCATAAAGTGCACTCAGTGCCTCTTTAACACTGTGTAATCCGAACATTACCAGTTTGACAAGAAAACTCTCAATGCGTGGCTGTTATATTCTAAATGTATAAGTTTTATCACACATTCTCATTCATGATATTGCGCGACAAATCAGACAGTTAATTAATATTCAGAACAATTTACCTGACAAATGTGGATCGTGGAACGCTCTCTGTGCTCTCCTTCACCAACAAATCTGAAAATACAGTGTCTGGAGTGTCTCTTTTTCCATACCTATGTAGAAAAAATAAGACGGGAGAGACTTTATTTGTACATACTATCATGATTTTCTGCAGTAAATTGTAAAAGTTCAAGATACTTTATTCATCCCCTCTGCGAAATTTAAGGTATCCAGTAGGTCACACATGTTCCATTTAATTAAAATAGGAAAAGCAATGTGCAAAAGAACATGCAAAGTAATGTGCAAATCATGCTGGTAGAGGAAATTAGATGCAAAAATTCAAGGACTAACCTCTGTCTTGTGATGAGGTTGATGTAGTGTCTTAGTGCAGAGTAATATCTGGCGAGCTCCTCAGGTGGTGCACCTTCCCGGGGACTGGCGGGCTTGGCTGGATATGCATTTATGCCAGAATGAATACAGACCAGCAGGCAGAGAGCCAGAATGCTCAGCGACATCACAGCGTTGGAGAAATCCTGGATCACAGGGAACAAAAGGTCAAAATGCAGAGTTAAAAAAAAAAAAATCCAACAATATCACTCACGCCAAAATGAGAAATAGAAGCTCCACATTAGGTTGATGCTCTGTTAAAGCTGTAAATCTATAACTAACCAAAAAGCCTTACACTTAAAATGTGAGAATTTTTTTTAAAAAGTCTCCTTACCCTTGAAAATACTGCTGTAGTCGGTTTTTCTCGCTGTTCAAGGCACCTCTGTCACCTTCCCAACATTGCCCATGTTTTATACAGTGTGTGGCGGGTGGGGAGGGAGGGTAACTTCATTCTCTTTTCAGGCTACTCCTGAGAAATATTGTTTGCCTCATTAGTTAAACGCTGAATGGCAAAACAGTGGAAATGGAGATACCCAGCTACACTTTGGGCATGTACGGCTACAGCATTAGATTTGTAAAATATAAATGATCTGACCTGATGGTGCACATGTGCAGCAGATTGACTACATTATTCTTGCAACATATCTACACAAATGTACAGCATGATCAAGTCATCCGCAACAAGTTACAAGTTCATGTAATAGTGATATAATAAGGCCTAAATGCTTAAAGATAGAAAATAGCACCTGATCGCAGCCACTTTCCATCTTGTTCAAAAACAAACACAACTGGAGACTAAAATCTGTTTTAACTCAGACAGTCCATTTAAACCCACGACCAGCACAACAAGCTTTAATAAAGCTGATGATGTGTAACTTCAAATGGCTGATGATGGTTTGTTGCTTTCACATTAGGTTGAAAAATGTTCAGAAGTCCCACGATGGTTCAGTTTAGAGAAATGCAGAGAAAGTCTGCATCAAGACACAGAAAAGTCTGTTAATTCAATTGTGCATTAATAAATTCAAACATGTAATTGAACTTGTTAAAACTGACCGAGGGCAGCCGTGGTCCTTGTTATCACGTTATGATCAAAGTGTTGTAATTTCTTGGAGCTATACTCGTGTGAGCCGGTCAAAGTCAGAAGTCCTAATAAATGTGGATTCTCTTGTATCTCGCCCACATTCATGCAAAACAGCGGCGCCACAGCTCCACATTAAACCCTGCCGACTGGCACGCGGTCGTCTTAAGACAAAAACTACCTCAATTTGGGCCAAACCGGCGAGCGCAACTCCAAATGACCCCAAATCATACGAAAAAGGCCAGTAAATCACACAAACCCTTAAACTTTCAATTCCAGTTGATAGAGGGCACAAAAAGCTTTCAGCCCCTAAGTGGTGAGACGACTTAAATGGACGACCATTTTCTCTGAAGAGCACACTGCCGAAATTTGACAGTAGATTGGCGCTGTTGTTTTCATCGACTAGATGCCGATTCTGGAGCAAAAGCGCAGCTCCTGCAGGAAAAGTAAATCAAAACTTTCAGCCTCACAATATAGCTACACCAGATATTCAGATGTTTCATGCCAGAATCATGTATTTCATTCAGAAAGTGTCACTCCCAAGATACTTGTACTTTTTTGAAATGCAAAAACAGTAAGATGCTATTCTGATTAAAGTTAATTGGATATGCAAGCAAGTACGTCTATTTATATTGCACCTTATCATACACAGAGGTTATTCAAAGTGCTTTACAGACAATAAAGGAAAGAAGAAATTAAATGTAATATCATTAAATTAATTTGGTCAAATTAATCCCCAAAAAAAGTACAGACGAGTTGAATAGAGTGCACACAGAGTTACAAAACTATTCAAAAACAGCTGCAAAAGACAAGAGAGGAGAAAAATTAAAGCACGTAAGAGATAAAGTGAACAATAAAGTACTAAATTAAGTGAATAAAACTGAAGACAGGTTTAATAAAAGTACAGGCAGTTTAGACCAAAGCAATGAAGATTATACCGCTTTGGAAATAATTATTAGACCAACTGCTGTTTTCTTTGCAACGTCGACACAACAGGCTTCAGCACTGATGGTTTTGTTAGAATTTCTATCATACTGGTTAAATAATGAAAGAATCTTCTCAAAGACATGAAAAAGTCTTAAAATGTGTTTAAAAATATGATGTAATCAAAATGTGAAAATTCACTCTAGATGGTGGGAAACCAATTTTGAGTCACTGTTGTTTTGTGCTGTGTATGTAAAGTCAACAAATTACCAAAACTAAATTATCAATCGACAAGGCCTTACAGAAGTAGAAGAATAACAGGAAAAAGGCCGTCTTGGTGCCTAATGAAGAGGAATACAGCAAAAGAGTCATCGCTGGAATCAGTAAACTAGGGTCCATTAGAACTTTAAGAGGAAAATGCAGCATGGTTCTGCCAAGAACTGCAAAGAAAAATGCAGAAAACGGTGCTCAGAGTGGTCAAAAAAAACTACTCCCAAAGCTGTGCATTAGTTTCTCATCGTATTCCACCACAGCAGTGATTCCTTCTTCAGTTATGCAGAGCTTACAGTGTGCAATTATGAGTTTGTATGCTTGCAACTATGAAATAAAATAAAATTCTTTCTCTCAGAAATATTAGATTTTCTGTATGGAGAGAGGTCAATAATAAAAGCCTCAGTTACAGTCACATCAACCTGGAGTTCACAAATGAGGAGCAGGTGGAGGAAGCACAAGTGTCACGTGTAATATAGTTGACATGCTCTCTTGTAATATTCCTCATAAACACCTCGTACCAAGAGGAAACTAAAGCTGCAGCCAGCCCACCTGCTGGACACCAGACTCATACCAGAGGAAGCACTTATTATACACCGTATGTACCGGAATGCCAGCAGCACAGAGGACAGGTTTCCTTTTAACAGAGAACCGAAGCTGAACGTCTCAGTTGGGGGTTGTAGGAGATAAATGATTCATTCCCAGCCAGCTGCATACTGTAGAGTAATGAACAGCCATTGATTAATACGCTCTTCTCTCTCTGTGCAGCCTTCTATGCACAGACACCGTGCAAGAATTTGATTGCAAATACACAAACACAAGAGGATAATCTTCACCGTGGACAATATGTCGGCTTTATTCATTTATGTGGAAACAAGTGCAACGAAATGAGCGGCTCAGTGCAGCACCTTATACAGCGATAAATCATGCGAGACAGACACTCAGCTACTGCTGTTTGCAAAAGCGAATTAATCTCCCTTTTCTTCATAATCGCCTCCATCAAAGAGTAGCGCCAAGGCCCTTAATGGCCTCACGACTGTGCAGACGATGAGAACATTAACCACGGTGGTAACTTTGGAGCGAAACACCAAAACTTATTGTTTTCTTTTATATTTCAATGTTCTCTCTGGAGTCATTTTGCTAATCCACTCGAAGGAAAGTAGATTTATTACAGTTTGGAGCACAGGAGGTGTAAGGCTTAACCGCAGAATTTCATTAATTGGTATACTTTACCATTCAGGGAAAAAGTGCAGTATGAAATACTCATTTGACGACTTTTTCATAGTTCAATAAACACCCACCTACTTACGTTTCACTGGGTGTCTTATGATTTCATAGTTGATATTCACAAGTCTGTTTGTCCATTTAAACATTAGAGTGAATCATTCTTTACTTTCAGATCATTTAAGTACAAAAAGCCAAACCACAGCTCACAAAAGCAGTCAAACACCAGGTCCTGTCAGGCTTCGTGCAGGCTTCATTACATTTTTACATTTAGCTAATGTTCTGGCAATAAGTCGGTGAAGTGTAATGATCGCGTGCTAGGAAGTGATGTTTCGCATGTGCATGTCCTCATGAAGTATCAGTGTCTCTGTGTGTATGACACATACACAGAATCATTTCAGTTCTCAGTAATTAGGCCTGTGGCGAAACAAGCAGGTGCAAGTATAGCCAGTGATTTCCAGCTTATTGCAATAACCTCCGTACCGTGTCAAATCATGGAGTGAGTTCAGGTGTTCTAGCAATCTGTCAAAGTAGCCTCAGTCTAAAACATAAACCATCTTGTCACCTATTTTACTCTAAATTGGACCCTTTTTTCTTTTTTCTTTTTTTTTTTAAATCAACACTATGCTGTATTCAAAAAGTTTTGAAATGAGAGATTCAGATCATAAACCCATTCAGAAAATGTTCATTAAAGCAACAAATCAAGTAAGAAGTAAAGTCATTTTCCTATAGACTTCTGTACAATCAGACTTTTTTTTACAACCAGAGGTATCGCCCCCTGCTGGCTGTTAGAGAGAGTGCAGGTTCACGTCACTTCTATGATTCACTTTTCAGAAATGGAGGCCGTCTTTTTCTGTTTTCCAACCAAATTTTATTCTTCAATCTGCAAAATTCAACATAATATAGTACAATGCACAGTTTATATTGTTACAGATTCATGTTTTTTTTCCCCCCAAGCAACTATTGCCCCTCCTTCTCCCTCCCCACAAACGTTCCCTCCCAGCGCATAGAACCATGAAAATAAATAAGTAAATAATTTAAATTAATTG